ATTTAATCATTTAATTTATATTAAATATTGCCATTATACTGCAGCTTGAAAATAATTATCAGCTTACAGTGTATATGTATATGTATATATATATATATATATATATACTGTAAGCTGATAATTATTTTCAAGCTGCAGTATAATGGCAATATTTAATATAAATTAAATTTTATATATATATATATATATATATATATATTATTGATTCTATTTATATTAAAACAATAGAAGTTCTTACATTTAGGTAAATAATAATATGTGTGTGGAGGTATTACACTCGTAAAAATAAAGGCTCCTATGGTTCCATGAAGAACCTTTAACATTCATGGAATATTTTCATTGCACAAAAGGTTTTTAAGTGTGTAAAAACGGTTCTTTAGATTAGGGGGTCCCAAAATGATTTTTTTTATGGCTAAAACCATAGAAAAAAAAAAACTTTATGAGATTAATTGACATTGTACCACATTCCACATTGTATTGAGGTTAATTTTCCTGTAATATTTATTCCAGCTCTAACGACTCCAACAGAAAGCCTGGGACGCCTGGCACACCCGGCTCCCAGGACCTGCAGGCAGCACTGCGTCGCCTTTCCCTTCGACGGGACAACTACCTGAGCGAGCGGCGTTTCTTCGAGGAGGAGCGAGAGCGTAAACTGAACGCCCTGGCAGTAGAGAAAAGCGAATTGTATGAGAACAGAGATGTTGGAAGTGGCAGTGAAGACGGCGGTCCTCTTACTCCGGCAGAAAGCATCATGTCTCTGGGCACCCTGCACTCGGTTTACTCCATCTACAGCTCCCGATCATACCTGCCCGAGAAACTCCAGATCGTCAAGCCTCTGGAAGGTGACCGAGCCAAAGCCAGGCCTTTCACCCTCTCACTGTTTGATGCCCTGTGGGCATTAATGCACCACAGTGCTGAGGATCTGTCTACACAACACTCCTTCTTTTTCAGACACACACAGCCTCGCTGCTGGTTTGAGATATAGGCCACGCACACACTACTGTTCACCTTTTAGTGCTTTATTCTGTTCTGTACTGTTCTGAGTTCAGTCATGTATGGGAGTGGCAAGCACATTCTACTAGTTGTTACAATTTGGGTCATTCCTACAGTTTGGTGGATTTTTTGCGTTCCTGTGAAACAATTAACATAACTTCATAATGATTAGTACAAATAATCATTATAATTTAAATAATTTGAAAATGCCCCCAAACATGTTTTCTCAACTTTTTAAAGAATTTTAAGAATTAGGATGTGCACGTATTCTTTTTGACATGCAATACAATTTATTGTGATGCATATCTTTAAGCTGTGCTAAACCATTAACTGAGTTTATTAGCTTAAAACGTCCACCCTGTTACACATTAGTCTGTAAATATGTAATGTAACAGGCTGAACAAGTTCCATAGAATATGAAACGTTAATATTTGATCTGGGTTATTAGGTTATACTTGCCTGAGATTGACCCTGGTTTTGTTTTTGTTTTTGTTTCTTTTTGTTTTTTGGATGGATATACATTTTCTCCCTCTGAGAAGACTGAAAAATAATTAAATATTAAAAATGTTTGCACTTTCAACAAACCTGCTCAGTCCAAAATCTACTGTAGGAATGACCAACTTACAAAAATTCTATGCATTGTGCTGAACTGAACAACTAGTTGTTAATGATGTATTTTAGTGCACATAAGTCTCTCTTCTGCATGTATGGTGCAAAAAGACAGGGAAAAAGGTATGAGCCATAACTCGGCTGTGTTGCCAGATCTTGTTAGAAATAACAGCAAACAAGAACATGCACATCGTTAGCCAAAATAAATCAAAATCCTTCAAATATAAAATACAATCATTAATTTTGCACCTTACCAGTTTAATAAACCCATAACTTTGATAGCTTTATGAGCCAAGCCCAAAAACGCTTATAATAAGTGGACATGTCAACACTTGTAGAACATAATGAGTCAAAAATGGTCAAAAATACTTTGGTCAAAAATAGCGTTGATGCCAAACACGTTGCTATGGTTACCGTGGTGTAAATATTCATTTCGGGAGGGAGTTGTGTTCATTACACACATGGGTCATTATAAGATTTGCTCCGGTTTCTAAATGCAGTTGTCACTCCTAAACCAACGTGTCAAGTCCTTCGACACATCGCACTTACCATTATATAGAGAGAAACTGAAAAACTACCCACAATGCACTTTATGGTACATATTTTAAAAGACACATTTGAAATTGGTGTTGCTCGTTTACAAAGAAAGCCAAAAACAAAGTCCCTTCTCGTTTTCGGTGGATCTTTTCAGTTTTTTGCCAACAAAGAGGTGTTTGAATGCATTTAGTTGTATATAACAGAGCTAAAGCTGATTGTAGTTCGTCATTTTATTTAAACTTAATCACAGCATGATTATACAGCTACTGTGGTGATCTTATAATTACATCTCTAGCGCCCCCTGCTGTTTACAGCTAATAGAGCTAAGCAGTCTGACATTGCATTGCCTGCCCAAAAGTAAAGCTTAGAAATTACAGAAAACTCTAAAGCATTTTCTCGAGCGATTCCTCATATTTAAACATGTTTCAAAGGTACTAACATGCAATCTGACAGAGTAGCTCCTGAGGAATAGTATTTGACTTGAGGCCCTGTTTTCCCCATTGTGTTCACCATTGTTTACCCCTACTGTCTCTTTTGTCAGTTTTCAGTTTGGATGTTTGAATTCCTTTTCTTACCTTTTTGTCTTTTAATGTGTTTATACCTTTCCAATAAACACAACTTTAATTTCCCCCTCCTCCTTTTTCTCTTTCTTTTCTTGCTTTAGACTGTCCATAGTTAGCATGTCATGAACTGTAGCTCTGTGTAAACGTTAACCTGTTTTACAGGGCACATATTAAATTGAGTATAAAAAATAGCATATGCATCGTAATCACGACTGCTGTTAAATATACAGTAAATCTCCACATCTGGTTGCCTCTATATTTTAAAATGTATTGGAACACAGACAAATTCGGTAACGCTTCCTTTTACAGTCCTGTTACCCATGTAAATTCTTGGTACTTATTATACTAATTACAATTACTGGGTAATAACTAGGTATTAACACTGATCCTACCCTAACCCATGTACTTACCCTATAATAGCCAGTACTTTCTAGGTAAATACACTGTAAGTACACATTAGTACTGTATAAAAGGAAGCGTTACCACAAATTCTACATAAAAATGAACAGATCAGTTCTCAGCATTGCAACAAATTGGTTTTCACACTTGGTTTCACAGAGGTTCACAGACTAGCCATTTTATCAGCTTATATGACACATGCTCAACGATCATCCAATACTACTTTCTTATTTTATATACATTTCTGACGCAAGCAATCTCATGCTGCCTCTTTTCTCTTGGACTTCAACCGATGCTAATTTTAAATCAATCTGAAATTTTTGTCCAATCGCTCCTATGTATCTCATGTCACACTTCATGATCTCAATATATATTTTGTGTGTTATGTGGCATTTGTTGTAATTTGTATCTGATCTGTGCTGTCGTTTTCTCCGTTCCTCAGGTTCGGCCACTCTGCACGCATGGCAGCAGCTCGCGCAGCCACACCTGGGCGGCATCCTGGACACGCGGCCCGGCGTCGTGACCAAGGGCTTCCGGACCCTGGAGCTGGACCTGGAGGAGGTGTACCAATTCACCGACCTGGAGGAAGACGAGTCAGGACAGCATTCCCAATCTGCCGTCACTACCTCTTGCCTGGGCTCTATGCCTTGCTCGCCTGCTTTGCGACGACCTCGTGCCAACAATCCTGACAACCAGGAAGAGCAGCTCAGAGAAAATGGAGGGACCCCTGGAGTGGGGCTAGACCGAATGGAGGCTGGAGAGGAAGAGGTCTCATCTGGTGAGGGACCCTCATAACCTCACTAACCCTCCGGACAGGCTTTGGGGGGGTGGGATCAAAAAGCCTCTCTATAAAACAGACCGAAGCCCCAGTGGAGTTCCCATAAGCCCCAGTTGTGTTGTTGCCTGTGAGGGTCTATAGGATGAGCTGGTTCTCTCCACACACCCACTGCACACCAACCACTACCTCACCCATGAAGACAGCTGCCCTGTTCTTTTGAGTATAGTCAATTTTTTAAAAAATTTTACTGTCGTTCTACCTGTCATCTCTCTTGATCCTTGTGCTGAAAAATGAGAAATCAGTCTACGTAACCTCTAGAATACATCAAGTATTAGTTGAAATACTTTAAATATTAAAGCAGTACCACATTCATATTCAATATTTAGGTCATATTTAGCCCTAATTCAAAAGTGAAAACCTTTTAGAACCTTTTTATTATTGTTATTGTGGCATTTGATAACCATGCCCTCATTATTATTAGTGCAGTAATGTCAACATTTGAGTTTGTAATGCTCATTGTTCAAAGAGTGATTCTCATTAGATTCTCATCCTGTCTAGAACTATTATAATTATTAGTAGTAGAAGCATTAGTGATATCAAATAGACTAATCGCTATTAATCGCATCTAACATACAGTAGAAGTGTGTTCATATTATATATGTACAGCCTATTATTGTTATTAATAATAAAGATAGTATAACATATACTGCCATTGTAAAATATAAATATTTTATAATTTAATTATTATTAATTAAAGCTACACTGTGTAATTTTTACCGCCATCTAGCGGTGAAAAGGTATATGACCATCCAGTGAATATTAGTTTCTGTTCCTCTCAATTACGATTTCGTTTTAACTCCTACGGTGGCCAATGGAGAGCCTAAGTCCCTCCCCTTCTGGTCACCACCTTGTATTTTGGAAAAATATTGTATGGTAGTCAATGGCGAGAGACAACAAATATTTTGATCTCGTTTGAATTTTGCCTTGAATTACACATATGATGTTTGTCAATTTAAAAGATAACTTTTTAAGTAAAGGAAGTCGCAGTTTGATGTAAAACCGTATACGACTGTGAAAATATGTAATTACAAAGACTACAAACCCCAAAGTTGCACATTTTCTCTCAATGAATGAAGCTATGTTTACTGAAGCTAACGTCTGTCATTGTTTCTATAGTCTTACGTTATAATCGTAACGTTACGCCGTCATACCTGAGTGTTTTGTACCAGACTGCACACACACGAGCAGCGGATCTTGCTCGTTGTTTCGCTTCCCGGGAGATGTAGTTCATTGAGCGATTTTCACATAAAACTAAATGTTACTCTTCTGTTTTATGACAAACTGCGACGTTTTTGACTTTCAGAATTATCTTTTAAATTGACAAACATCATATGTGTAATTTAGGGCACAGTTCAGACGGAATAAAAAGATAAGTTGTCTCTCGCATTGACTACCATACATATTTTTTCCCATGAGCCGGAAGCGGAGGGGCGGGACTTAGGCTCTCTATGTACTCCAAGATTAACATGGCTTCCAGTTCGACCTCGTCCATGATTGTTAACTCAAACGTAAACGCGAAAGGCGAAGCTTGAATTAACGGGTATGTCCCTCTTTGGCTAATGTACATTCAAGATGGAGGGGCAACATGGCGACCGACATTAGTAACCCTTACCCGTATGTATTTTCAATGGGATATTATACACTCACGAGAATACTTTATTACTCGAACGAAGTAAATATACATTAATGAGCACATATATTTTTGAAAGAACTAAGTGTTTTTAGCTAAGAATAAACTAAAAGAGTTACAGAGTGATGCTTTAAATAATAGATCTACTCTAAGAAACTTATGAATATGAGTCTAATAATAAGTGATAAGTGTGTGCTTCTAGACTTGATTCTCATTTTCAGCACTCGTTAATTTTCCAGTATCTTAAACTAAATCTCTTTTCTAACCTGCATTACCAGAATGCTGTGTCAGAAAGTGTAATGCTTGGTGGTGGGGAAACGACATTTATTTATTCACTCTCTCCACACACACGCATGCAAGTCCACTTGTCCCCGTGGTAAACCTGTATGTGAGATTTAGGCAGGCGTCCAGCCCGAGGGCACAGAGTGTGATGTTTAATACTTAACTGCAGAACACACACACATGCCTTTAGCACACATCACACAGTCCCAACAGCATGTAACATCCAGCTAGAGTTCTGAGTGTCTTTAAAGGATAATGTTACAGAGTTCTATTAAAAACGGGGAGGTGTGAGTCACAGTCATGTGAAGTGAACAGACTCTGGACACTGGACAGAGCAGAGGTCACATTGACACCACATGTAGCTACACAAACACACTCCACATGCTTTCAGAGTCAAGCTTGTCAAACACACACATACTCTGACAACCCCAGTTTATCTGGAGAATTATACACCGTGCTCACATACATGCGTTTTTTTTTTTGTTTTTGTTTTTTTAGGGCAAACTATCCCTTTAATGACAATTGTTTCTTTCTGCAGAGAATTATTGGCATTTGATCGTTCCTCTTTCCAACTTTTCTCTCCTTCTGTGTGAATCTATTTAAAACTGCATCAGGATGAATCATACCACCACAAATTCATGATTTGTAAGGAAATTTAACAAATCAAATTCCGCTGTCCCATTTTTGCAGTGTACCACATTCGATTGCATTAGGTGTCCTCAGATCCTGAAGCAGTTTTAGTTTTCTGTGTTTGTTTGTGGTGTTGTGTGTACTGATGTTTGTCTCTCCTCTCTTGCTCTCCCCAGTGCATTTTCCTGGTAAATGTATGTCTCACACCAGCTCCACGTACACCTTCACCACCTGCAGGATTCTGCACCCTACAGATGAACTCACCAGAGTCACACCCAGGTAAATACAGTGGGGTCTTTTCATTATATCCTCCTAGCAACTATTGGTTCATAGATAATATCAGTTTTAACAAATACACTGTCATAACTATGTGCAAAAAGCACATGCCTTCAGGGTTACAACAGCATGTCACTGGCAGTACCCTTTAAGTGCCCCTATTATGCTATTTTAAAGGTTCCTAATTTTGTCTCCTAGAATAGGTGAACATGCATCCAATTTTCACGCCTTGGCACTCTATTCAACTATTCAGTGTTTTCAACCACATAAGCTTTAAAGTACTGTAACACCAGGTAACTTTTGCTCTCGGGTCCCCCCCACAGTTGGGAAACACTATTGTCCTGTAATGAAATTTCTTCATCCCAGGTACAGTGGCATATATTTCAGCATGTCATATGAATATAATTTCATTTTTTTTTTAACGACAAATGATCGCGATGCTCACGTTTACAAGCCAACGTCATTATAGTAGCCTAGTCTATTGGTTACCGTTTTACTGAATCTACATAATGCTTCAACGCAATGTTTGAGTGGTAGATAATAACCATATATCGTCAATATTGTAATATCAAGCTACCATAAATGAATCTGCAAATTTTACTAATCGATTTGCATAATAGCTTGAGGCAAAAAAATAAACAAATATCACAGACATGTTAGGTATCCTAAAATATGATTTTGTACATCTTGTATATTTACTTGCAAGAATGTAGCCCCTACCTAAATTTTACACGCCGTTTAGACGATAGCTAACCATCAAAAACCAGAATATTGTTTACTAGACCAAATTGATAATTCACTACTCTACTATAATTACTTGATTCATGAAGATAAACAGAGGATAAGATAGCTTCTGTTACATAGTCAGGCAGAAAAAAAAACAAAAGCATGACAGCCAAGTCCCCGTCGGTCGCGCCCATATACCCCCCCCCCCAGCTCATGCCAGCGCGAAAACGCTGGCCCGATGTTGATCCTCGTTCTGCCTTTAACGCAATTGACTTTCTCTTTTTCTCTTTTTGCTTTGTTCCGATAAAACCTTTGCTTTCTTGTTTTTCTGTGCTGCTTCGGCCATGACTATAACATTTGGCTCGCACGTCCGATTTTAAGGTCCGATTTTAAGGTGGTGGAAGTGACGTATATGACGTAAAGCAGTCGAATTTTGTAGTTCTCTTTGTTCGCCGGTTACTACCCGAAACCCGACGTTTAAAAGTACGATTAAAAACGCTACAGACCCCGTCAGACTATGGCAGGCGTGTCATTCAACCTATTGTAAGTTGATGTACCATCACAAGAGACTTGGAAATATATTATGAAAGTTGAAAAGTTACCTGGTGTTACTTTAATTTAGTTTTCAGACATTTAAATACACATAAATAATAGCAAAACAATACATGTCTATGGAAGCGGCAATAACAATACATTTAAGTATAAATTGACACTGTATTTTATTCATATCAGATACACATGGTGTAGGTAACTATAATTTTACTCTGTTCTTCACCGGCCACTTACTTTTATGTATTTCGGTGGATCAATTTGCGTGTTGTAAATCCGACAGATCCGATTCTCTGAACTGCGGCGCAAGCGTAGGTTTTACCGGATCAATTCCAGTCCTCATCCTCATCCTTTGGAATTGCATTCAAAGTGGATTTGCAGCACTGAAAACAGCTTCTTCTTGACATGTAGACAACACAAACAAAACTCTTCCAGGCCTCAGCTACAACTTGTGTTTGAGCGTCAAAGTAGATGTTGTTCACGAGCATCCAATGAAGACCATAGGCTGCCATTATGAAAATTAGTTTGAAACCTTTGTAGGAATGTAACAGGAAGTGAGACTGGATTTGCTGATGACTCGGCAGTTCAGAATCGATTCTTTCTTTTACGAGACAAAAACTTTATTTGTCGTGCACTTTGATCTTTAAAACATTGCAGACCTTTTACATTTATAAACAGCTCTATTACACACTGCACGAAAGGTAATATTCGGAAAAAGCATAATAGGGGCACTCTAACACTCTAGTTAGCTAGAAAAAAAGTAACTAGAGTAGTATTTTGCCAAATATGTGCTCTATATTATTGATTCATAGATTTTTTTTCTTAACCTGTATTAATTAATTGTATGTATTTTTTAATAAATATGAATAAAAATGTAATAATAAATATTGTAAGTAGAAACATCATTAAGATTATATCATTAATTCATTATTATAAAGTTATTTTTATTAAAAACTGCCTTATGTGCCTTTTAAATATTTGTATACAAATCAGTGTTGATTAATAAATATAATTTAAAAAAATGTGTTCGTTTGGGTTCTGTTGTTAATTTGAACCATTAATATTATACCTGTATCAACTGACAGGATTCCCTGTATAGTTTACAGCTTTAGTCGTTTTTCTTTTTTTAACATGAGAGAAATTTACATGTACTGTGCCTGATATACAGTATATATACATAATTGAATCGATGTGGAATCAAACCAGTTGAGGATAAAAATCGAATCAAATCAAGCGCTTGTGAATCGAAATCTAATCAAATCAAATCGAATTGTGGAATTTATGTCAATACCCAACCCTAATTGTAACCCTTTAAGGAAAATTTGGGACTTGTTTCAATAAACTTAAAATGTATTGAAATCATTCAGGTTTTCCATAAAAGATACAGTGTACAGTGTAATCTGCAATCTGAATTGGCTTTATGCCAAATTTAATTAATTCAGGTGTGTCTGATTATTGTTGCCGTGACTACTGAGGTCAGGCACACCTGAATTAATCAATTCGGCCAATAATGGCAGACAGGAAACAAGGAGCTGGCTGAAGTTCAGGAAGTAGTGCAGCTGTGCATAAAGCCAATTAAGGGTGCCAGAAGAAAGGCACCTGACAAATAGCGTGTCTTTATAGCAGCCATACTGTACAGCTGTTTGATTGGCTTCTACTGCAGGTCATATGACGAGGATGATGAGGCGGCTCTCTATCATGTTGTTCTGGTGACGGGCTTAGAGCACACTCACTGAGCAGCACCCCCTGTGGGTGAGGATGAATAGCATGACCTGCCTAGTCCTAATTAAAACTTATGTCATGGGAGTAAGCTGTTCTCTAACCAAACACAAACCACTCTAATGTCCTAACTTACATGTAGGATGTCTCTCAACTAACACCAAAACATTTTTTTGTGGGAGACTAAATGTAGTATGATGTGACTGATAATACCACCTGTGTATGTCTATGGTTGTGTCTATGTGTGTGTGTACTGTAAATCAATGGTAAAGTACAGAGTTCATGAGAGAACAAAATTTTAACATGCTGTTACTTTATAATCAAAAGAATTAGCCTTCAAAATTATGATGTCTGAATGCCATTGCATTAGATATTAAAATAGACCAATGGTGTCCCTGTAGCTCGGGGTTTGGGAGTTTGGGTTTGATTTTCTAGGAATGCAAGAATTGATAAAAATGTATACTTTATAACTAATGCAAGAAAAAAAGAAATATATATATATAATAATCTGTACACCTGTGGTTACCAATAATTGTAATTAAAGGGCATATTGCAGGTTAGAGGACCCAACGAGTCAATGCATAGAAAAACAATGTAGGAACTAGATTTTCTTTAAAATATACATATAAACACGCCACAGAAGCTTCTGCAGTCGTTTTTGTGAGAAAATTTTACTTCCGCGTCTGAAAATGGGCGTGGCGGGCGTGACGCAATGAGCGGGAGAGCGGTCGATTCACACAACAGGAAAACAATGGATCGCATGACATTTCGGACGCTGAGGAAATACTCGTATGACGGATCAAGCCATAAAGTTATGAGCCTGCTATGCTAAAGAGATCAGGGACAGGCCAGGATAATGTCAGACAGAATGGTCAGAGAAAAATTGACCTGTGATGTGAGGAGAACCAGTGGAGAACAGGACAGGTGCCTTTTAGGTGAGAGACGTGCTTATAGTATACACGTTCGCTAACGATACACTGTGCTCACAATACTGTACAGATTCTATAAGCAGACATTAGTATGTTTAGGGTAGATTTATATACTATTAAATGTATAAAAACTTTACTTGAGTATATTTCTATACTAAAAGCATAGGCTATACTCGGGTAAATTTTTAATACATATTTTTCACCTTGGTTATAACATAAACAGAACATTAAAGGTTTGAGTATTTAAACAACCAATTTTGTTTTTCAATTACAAGTTTTATCTAGGGCATGACATGACTAGTTACCTATATAACACTATTTGATGCCATTGGTAGTATACCACGATCAATATTCTTGCTTCGGCATACCATGTTGAACTCCATCATATCGCCGGGATGCTAATCATTTGATCTGAAGTGAACGCTACACACGACCGCGTTTCCCGAGCCGATGCAGAGGAGAAATCCCGTCTCTTCTTTACCTGCTCAACCCGCACCAGGAACGAAAGATAGGCTATATAGCACCGTCCCTTTTATTGTAATGGAAACTTGTGGACTCGATCTTGAAGTCCTGACAGGCTGGAGTTTTTGCAATCTCCACAAACACAATAATTTACCATGACGATGATAAATTAAAATGCAAAAACTAACGATAGCACACTGACTGACGAGCGCTCTCACTGAACACCAGCCTGCTCTCACTGAGCCGAGGCTGCGGCTCCCTGATATGACGTCAAATGACGCGATGTTGAAAAAAAAGCCGTTTTTACTAGCAGTCCAAGAAACGCTCACTTTATCTTCTAAATTAGTGTCCTTATGTTGTTTTAAAACATTTTAAATCCTGCATTAACTTTTCATATGGTATTTTCATACAAGGTTATCTATAAATTTCGATTTTTTTTTTACCTGCAATATGCTCTTTAAAGGTAGTTCTGAAACAAGGCATTATTTATTTGAGGATACCAATTGCTTTAATATATTGTGAAGTCCTTTTATGCATTGAAATTCATGTTGGGGATGCATAATGATTTCAAATAAAACTAAATTCAGGATATGGCTACATTATACTGTATTCTATACAAAAGAAAATCTAAACTCTCACAATCCAAAACGTATGTCCCAGTTTATGTTGCAAACATTAACCAATTTTTTCTTGTGAGCAAAATGTTCCTGAATTGGATTGAATTTTTCTGTTTGATTACTCGTGTTCACAGAGTTGCCATTGCATGGTTTGGCTTGTGGCTTATACAACCAGATAATGCAAACTAACCGAGTGTTTCTTTCTCAGTCTTGTGTCTGGTCCATCACTGACGACCTGCGTGATGTCCAGCAGCGGTCTGCGCTCAACCCCTGTGTCCACCCCCTGCACGCCTCGTCGCCTCAGCCTGGCGGAGAGTTTCACCAACCTCCGCGACTCAACCAAGACCACCAGTACCTCTTTGGGACTCGTGCGCCTCCTACAAGAGAGAGGTATATCTGCTGCTGTCTATAACCCTCTCAGCTGGGACCGGGCAGATCGAGCCCCTCCACCAGACCCTTACTCATCACACACTGCCCACCCCTTACACACCTGTCCAGACACTCTCCCTTCCACCCCTCCAAACTCTCCCAGCAAGTCCAAACCCACCAGACCTGTGCTCCCTGTAGACTACAGCCCCTCAGACCCCCCCTACGAAACCTTCCTGGCTTCACGGCCAGCCAGCTCGATCCTAAAGGAAGTGCGGGAGGCGGACGAGAGGGCTCAATCAGATACACAGAGTCAGACTGAAGTCAGTGTGCAGAATCTGAGACTTGTGGACAAGGTAAAGAAGTTTAGCCTGGCTCCCAGAACATTGGCCCCAGGACCGCCATTCGGAGCCCACGCCGGTATGACCTCCCCTATCGGGGGACTGCCAGTGCTGAACTCAGGGATGAGAAGAAACCGCAGTTACCCAGCTATGGTCGGGGCTAGTATGGCTATGAAGGGCGCAGGGCCTCCCAGTGAGGACCTGCTATTGGTCCATGGGCCACCAAGACAAACTAGCCTCAATGAAAAGTGAATGTTGCCTCTGTCGTCCCCTTTTGCCTTTTATTTGTTTAAATTTGCATTGACACAGTATATCATCCTTGCGACAACTCGAGTGCCTGTTATTAAGATGATATTTGTATAGATTATTTTGTTATAACAGTTGATATAACAACCTCTTTTTTGTCTACTTCTCTCCGTCTGACCTACATATACAGTACAATTCATTCAGCATTTGTCGTTGTGTGACAATTTGCACTTGCTGGCTGTGAGACAATGTAGCATACAAACAAAGCAGATGCCCCAAAATGATTTCCAGATGTGTTTTTTTTTTCTTCTTTTTTTTAAATCTGGTCATCCCGTGTGACATTTCAAGATTTGTTAGTTTTGTGATGCTGACAAGAGCACTGATAGCACCTTAATGGTAACCCAGACATTGGTGAACAATGAAGTATTGTCATTTCTAATTTATTATTTGGTCTGATTTGGCACTTTTTAAAGGCCATGACGTATAGCTTTTTTACCAAGACCCTATAGTGTCCCGAAAATCTGCTTTTACCAAGTACAAATACCTTCACGGAAGCCTTTTTCCATCTAGTCCAGGCAATTAAATAACAACAGCGTAATGTTCATTTGTCTAAAATGGCTTAATGCATAATATTATAGTAATTACAGTGTAATAACATTGTTCAGTAATGCGACTCTCGGTAGAGGGCGCTGTTGGCATGAATTGATGATAATTTGCATATTAGCACAAACTCTCTGCTTTATACATACTCAAGAGTTGACTGGCTGAAGTACTTCAGAGAGAAACCGAGACCACAGGGCTGTGAAGGGGCTGCATAAAGAAATTGCAGCAGGTTTAAACTTGAAACACAATCTTGTTCATGTTTTCATCTTTTAATGTCCTTTGTTGAAGACCAACATTATTTATATGTGTATATTTATACGTGTGGAATTGCAGTATTGAAGACTTGATGGGAAAATTGCACAAAACATTTCATTGGTCAAAAAGGATGTCAGGTTAAACCGAAGAAAAAAAAATACTGTAGATCTGCTGTGGTTTTGGAACCTACTGACTGATATGTGTCAAATGTAAAGCAAGTGAAGTATATATTGTGAGCTTTAAAGATTTCAAGGGTGCAATAGGAAGTCATTCATAGTGCCTGATGATATTTTTTTTTTTTTTGACGGACTGAATCATAATGGCTTCACCTGCCACTGTATGCACTGGCATACATACTGTAACTCTGTGTGATGTATTGATTTAACAATTGTTTTTACCCGAGGATGCATACAGTTGAAAGTGCATGAGTCGGTCTAGAGAAAAGTTATTTTTCTTTTAGTTCAGGCTAATCAAATTTGTTAGGTGAAAATGTGTGTGTATTTGTGTGTGTGCGCATTTAATCATAGCATGACCTTTGTTGAATGTGTTTCAGAGGTATCTGCCATTCTGCCATGACTGATCATTGATTTCAATGGTGTTTATTTCAATAGAACGGACATTTTACTTGTATATTGTAAATGGTAAATATGCAAAGAATTTAAACATGCTAACTTTTTATATATAAAAAGCAAAAAAAAAAAAAACTATACTTGAAGGGGAAAAAAAAGAGAAAATGGAAAAGCAATGATGACGTGACACTGGTGAAAAGTGGAGTTTTTGTTCATGAATTTTAGAAGCTCCCCTTTGCAGGATCAATAAACCTGTTGCGATAATTTTGTGTCGGTTGTCTTATTTTGTCTTTTGTTCATGTCCACAAATGTCCGTTCTAAACTCTCTTTTGAAAGCATGAGATGCACTAGCCTTGTTGAGCACAAGAGGGAGTTTCACCAACATTGAGCATGCAGAACTCCGTGATCAAAGTCCAAAATATGCCAGTTCACATTTCTGAATTTGTCATTGTTTGATCTTGTGCTGACAGAAACCCCTATAGGGCCCTTGTCTTGCAAATTTACATGGAGTAGATGCTTGTGACCAGACCACAGCTGACTGACCAACAGGCCACTTAGTGTTGGAGCACCATATTTACTAACAATGTGATGATATTCAGATGATATTCTCTAGCTGAAGAGGGTTTCCATAGAAACACTGCAAGTTATTGTGAACTCATAAATTCAAGACTGTTCTTTTAATTGTTCTGAGTGATATTTTTCTTCATCTTAAGAAATGTACAATTTGATATTATGGAGCTGTATTGTACAGCTGTAGAAATGTAAAAAGTAAACATCCTTTATATATTCATAGATATGTTTATACAGTTACATTTTTACTATTTAAATTCAGACTAAACACCAAACCGAACCAATTTTTTCAACTGTAAAAACTTTAACAGGCAAATAAAAGTACATTGATAAATTTGTAGTTAGAACATAGGTGGAATTTTAAGTTGTTATTCGCTAAAAATTGTATGTTGATTCACTATCGATGTGTGAAGGCACACATACAAATGCATACATATCTCATTATACAGTATTTCTCTATAGAGGAACTGTTTTTTTACAAACATTAATTTTGAAATCACAGACCTACAATGAGCTCCAAGGATGGTGTATGTTTATGCTGAAGCCATCAGTCTGCATCATTTCAACTTAATTTTTATAATTGTTGCCCACTGATAGGAAAATGCCCTTTTCTGTAAAGAGACCATACTTAATTTCCAGTGCGATTTCTCTTTAAAATCCGAAAGCACCCCATAAAAATATTCACTGTTGATGAGAGTGAAATAAACAAGCATGAGTCGTAGTTGTGTTTTTGGCTGTTCTACTGCACGTTTTGTTCAGTTTTCCACTTGTAAATTGGTTGAGAAGGAAATGGGTGATTATCCACTGAATTAAAATACCACCTGCACCCTACAGCATATATTTGGTTCTCTGAAATACTTTAGTGGTCTGATATTTCTTGATAACAACCACCCATCCACATAGCAGACCACTCAAGAAGATTAAGGCTGAATCCAAAATCGTCCCCTAAACCCTCAATCACAATTCCCTACGTTAGTCCAGTATTGCAGTTCACTTGAAGGAGTGAATGAAAACAAGTGAGCGAATTCGGATCAGCTTTGAGCGTACAATACATCAGTTGTACACTCGTTATTGCCATGCAATGTGGGATTGAATGAGAGCACTCAAAAAGTCCACTATGGTTTTTGGTGTCCCCTCAAGTAATGACCTATTTAAGGGGGTCGATTTCGACTTCTTGTCTTATATGCAAACTTCACGTATTCCTCGTACAGTTGTCTAAGTGTACCTTTTCAGGGGGTTAGGTTTATGGGACAGAAAATAATAAGTCAATAGAAGGTCTCTATCCCTTGTAACAGTTCTCATCCCTAGAAGTCATATAACTGACGTCATGGGACGTCTTTTGACCATACGTCAACATCCGCCTTTTTAGGGTACCCTTAAATGTCGGTTAGATGACGATCCCGGGCTGTCATACAACTGACGCTTAACCTTTAACGTCAGTTAGGTGATGGGGTAGGTTTAGGTCTGGGGTAGGGTTAGGGTTAGGATCCGATAACGTCATCTTAGCGACGTTTAAGGGTACCTTAAAAAGGGTTGACAAACTTAATATTTGTTGACAAGTTATGTAGCCTAGGCTTTGAATAATGTAAATTTGCATTAAGGTTTATGAGAAATGTTGGCAGCTACGCTTTGTGGCAGGATTCTGTGGAGTGTACATATTATGATGTCATTGTAGCACAACTCAGTATAAAAGTTATACTTTTATTGTTATTCTGTGTAGTGTGTTAGGAGTTGATTGAAAGCTGAAAGAGAATTAATATAGAGTTGATATTTGAGTATAAAGTCAAATACATTCACAGTGATTTTTACTACCCCAACTGATCAAGCGATGGATAATATCGGAAGGGACATTGAAAGCAGTCGTTCTCTGTTTCATGAGAAACAAAACAACTGGTTTCCAAATTTCCATGATAGGAACACCAAAAATAAGTAATTAAGGATCATCTGTGGATATTTCACAACATGTTAGTGAATATTTTATTTAGCAAATGAATCAAATGCTAAATTTAAAAATGCACTTTTAGTAAAAATATCAGCTGAAGAGAATGCGGAGCTCAGGAGGAAGGTCCAGATATAAACATACTACAACAGATATTGTTTTTCATAATCTTGAATATGTAGTTGCATTTACATTTTATGCGGTAAATAACTACCAATTCTCCATAATGAGTTATTTAATAGTAGATGAATCTAAACCAAGCGGCAACCTCCCCGTCTCTCTCTTGAAGCCAATACGGAAGTGAATTAAACTGCAATTTATCGAGTGGCCGCTTGAGGCAGGCTGCAGAAGCGAGTCAAATCTGTATCTCCCCCATGTTAAAATGCCCAACTTTACAGCAGAAAAAAACATGTTTACAGCCTGGAGCAAAAAGTGGCTTTGGTCTATTGAGCTCATTTTTCCCTTCATGACAACTGTGAGGGGGGTGAATTTTTTTACAACTCATCTGTTTAAATTATATTTAAGCCTTAAAGTTCTGCATAATTAAGGGCGTGGCCACTTGAGTGACAGGTGGATTCATGCTGCCGCTTTCACTGCTAATCGTTAGTCTGCTGTCTGTTAGCGTCACCCTCAGCTGTGTTTCTGCTTTTCCGGGATTATTTCATACAATTTAATACATGTATTATACCTTCGCCCGTGCACGCCGTTGGATTCCGTCGTGTTGAGCATGGAGAGAACAACCAGCGCCGTGTTTCCAGCTGTTTCCCTCTCATGCACTAATGGATGTCTGATGATTTCAGCGCGTTCTCTCCGTCCATGCAATAGATGCACACCCTTGAATGAGCGCGGATTTCTAGTTCATTTACTTGAAGTTCTGAGGTAATATTTGGTTTGACCCATCTGAGAGGCGGCCAAAATCGGATTGTAAAATGGACTGAATTAAAGCTCTTTACGAACTTGACGTGAGATGCCGACTGACATGTGTGCTTGCCTTGAATCACTGTCGCATGCACAAGCTTAGAGCAATATTGTAAGTAACTTATACATTTTAACTAGCAGAATAATAATGCATCACAATGCACATAGTTGACTGCTTGTATGTTGTGAGAAATGTGTGATCTGTGTTAATGTACTTGTATATGCTCTTAACTAATTGCCCCTTGTGAGATTAATAAAGTTGATAAAAAAAGTCAAGTAGTCTCACTTTTAGTTACATCTTAACTATTATAATATTTCGAAGGGCAAAACATGAACTTTAACCATTGGCTTTACTTTTTCAATCAGCTGTCAATTCAGCGGCAGTAGCATAGCATTAGCACCTCAGCTCCACCCGCGTCCCGCCTCTTTGCCCATTTTAATTTATCCGGTAGTGACGAGAGGTGACGCACTGCCAAGATGGCGACGGTCGGCCCCGCCCACTTTAGGCCTCAAAATCGCTCTTCAGAAACCTATGGGTGACGTCACGGACACTACGTCCATATTTTTTACAGTCTATGATCTAAACCCTCTGAAGAAGAAAAGCTTGAGTTCAAGAAAAAAATATCCAGGTCTGGTTTCCTGACTTCCAAAAATTTCAGTCAGGACTGCTACCTAAATAAAGTTCCCTTTCGTTGTCACTCAGAGTTCCGTCAGATGCATGGCAAGGCAAGGCAAGGCAAGTTTATTTATATAGCACATTTCATACACAATGGCAATTCAAAGTGTTTTACATGGAAGAAATTAAAAGAAATCAAAAGAAATCAGAATAATTAGAACAGTTTAGAATAAAAAAAAATCATAATAAAAATAAAATACAGTAAATAATTAAAACAATTTAGAATCAAAAATAAAATGAAGTACAAAATTTGAAATAAAATGATGTGTTTTGAGTCTGGATTTGAATGTGTCTACTGTAGGAGCACACCTGATCTCTTCTGGAAGCTGGTTCCAGCTGCGGCTGGCATAATAGCTAAAAGCAGACTCTCCATGCTTAGAGTGAACCCTTGGTATTTCAAGCTGATGTGATCCTAATGATCTGAGTGATCTGTTGGGTTTATATTCAGTGAGCATATCTGCAATATATTGAGGTCCTAACCCATTAAATGATTTATATACCAGTAATAATACTTTAAAATCAATCCTAAATGTAACTGGCAGCCATGTGTAAAGACCTGAGGACTGGTGTGATGTGTTCATATTTTCTGGTCCTGCTCAGAATCCTGGCAGCAGCGTTCTGTATGAGCTGCAACCGTCTTATGGTCTTTTTAGGAAGGCCAGTGAGGAGGCCATTACAGTAATCCACCCTGCTGGTGATGAAAGCATGCAAAAGTTTCTCTAAGGCTTGACTGGAAACGAAGCATCTAATTCTTGGAATATTTTTTCAGATGATAGGATGCTTATTTAGTTATTGTTTTGACATGGCTATTGAAACTAGAGACACACCAAGATTCCTCACTTGTTTTCTAGTGTTTAGTTCCCTAGCGTCAAATATGCATTCACCTTGAGAACTTCATCTTTGTTTCCAAACGCAATGACTTCAGTTTTGTCTTTGTTTAACTGCAGAAAGCTTTGACACATCCAACTGTTTACTTCATCAATGCATTGGCACAGGGAGTCAATGGTGCTGTAGTCGTTAGGCGATAAGGCTAAGTAGAGCTGTGTGTCGTCTGCATAGCTATGGTAAGCGATTTGGTTCTTTTTCATTATTTGGCTCATTGGGAGCATATACAGGTTGAACAGGAGTGGTGCAAGAATCGAGCCCTGAGGGACTCCGCAAGTCATGGATGTCCAATCAGACTTATGTTCTCCTATACTCACAAAATAACCTCTCCCTTATAAGTAAGACCTGAACCATTGTAGGACTATCCCAGAAATCCCCACCCAGTTTTCCAGCCTGTCAAGAAGTATGTTGTGGTCGACAGTATCAAATGCAGCACTGAGGTCGAGTAGTACCAACACGGATACAGTATTCAAGCGAATATCGTTTATTATCTTCATGACCGCTGTCTCTTTGCTTTGACGTGATCGGAAACTGGATTGAACATTGTCAAAGTATCCATTTGAGCTTAAGAATTTGTTCAGCTGATTGAAGACAACCTTTTCAATGATCTTGCTTATGAAAGGAAGATTTTAGATCGGTCTATAGTTGCTTAAGATGGTCTTATCCAGATTGCTCTTTTTCAGGAGGCGCTTGACACCTGCAGTTTTTAGGGAGTTCGGAAAACTCCCTGAGCAAAGTGAGGCATTTACCACTTCTAGGAGATCTGCTTTTAAGCTGTGTAACACATTTTTGAAAAAAGATGTGGGAAGTGCATCAAGGGCGCAGGTTGATGTTTTAAGGATGTACATTTTCTACTAAAATTGTGCCATCGATTTCTTCGAAATCAGACATAGTAACTTTCTCAGGTTGTGGTCTGATCTGCCTGAGCCCAGCGCAACTCAAGGATGAGCTGATCACCTTACTGATGTTATTGATTTTCTCAGAAAAGAAAGAAGCAAACTCACTGCATTTCCTTTCTGAGAGCATTTCTATGGGAATCTGGCTTGGGGGGTTTGTCAGTCTCTCTACAGTAGCAAAAAGAGTGTGTGTGTGTTGTTTAAGTTGCTGTTTATAATATTTGAGAAGAAAGTCTGTCTAGCCTTGCATAGTTCCCTATTGAAAGCATGGATGCTGTCTTTGTAGATGTTATAATGGACTACCTGTACAAGTTTTGTCTTCCGCCACATGCTCTCTGCTCTTCTGCATTGTCTTTTCATATTTTGCACAGCTGTTGAGTTTCTCCAAGGTGCTTTTTGTCTACCACTCTTTTTCCTGACTTTCACAGGAGCAATGTCATCAATTACACTTTTAACTTTGAGTTAAGAGTCATGGCACAACTCCGTTCCACCTCGTGGGTATAAAGGGGAACGCCGGCGACATGCAGGTATGTTTTTGCTTCGGAGTTTTCTTCACTCCTGCAGCCTATTCTCTATTTTTGAGAATCTTCTAGATGAGCAGCTTCCAGTCGGTGTGATGGCGAGTTCCAGCGGGTTTCATATTCCTGGCTGCTGAACTGAACAGCGGGTGTGTTTCTCCCTGGGCGCTTCAGCACTGCTGCAAGCTTTTCTCTCACAAAAAGAGCGTGCACGCGGCACATCTTTTTAAAGACGCGTCTTTCTAAATATGATCTGCCCATGTTTTTCTGAGTGCGGTATTCTGACAGATTCAGCTGATGAGTGGTTCTAACCGCCCTGCAGATTGCTCCTTTGAGCCTCTGCAATCAGTGGAGCTTAAGTTCCTGTCAATAAATTCCTGGTTGCATTGGCATCCATTAAGAGGATAGGGGACCTGCACGCATTTTCTGTAGACGAAGTGTGCCTGGAATTCGGACCGGCCTTTTCTCACGTGATCCTGAGACCCCAGCCTGGATATGTGCCCAAGGTTGCTACCACTCCCACTCCCAACCTTGGCACTGCTCTGTCCAGTATCCGCTCTTTGTGCCTACGTAGACATGACGCAGTGTTTCAGGACCTCAAACCAGCTCTTTGTCTGTTATGGTGGGAAGCAGAAGGGAAAGGCTCTCTCCAAGCAAAGGCTGTCCCACTGGATAGTGGGCGCCATTGCTTTGGCATACCAGCAGCAAGGTCGACCGTGTCCCCTCTGTGTGATTGCTCACTCCACCCGGAGTGTGGCTTCCTCTTGGGCTCTAGCGCATGGCGCCTCGCTAACAGACATCTGCAGAGCTGCAGGCTGGGCGACACCTAACACACTCGCCAGATTCTACAATCTCCAAGTGGTCCACCCATGTACTCGCTTCTACCTGCCGGTATTTGGACCCACTCAGGTGTCTTCACTTGCTCGCCATTCCACTCAATGGACTGGATACATACGATATTCTCCTCAGGTGAGCCTCACAAGCCCTGAGTTTCTCCAACACTGCTGACGCCGACGCCAGTGTCTATTGCCTGTGCGTTGGCTAGGTGCCTGATCCCTCCCCTGAGCAACCCTCACATGTGTATTTCCACTGTAAGCATCTCTGAGCATGTGTCTTTCCCTTGGCAAGCCCTTGCCACCCCTGGAGTTGAAATATTCCACCTGCGGCTGGACACCCCAGTGTTTTCCATATGTTTTCTTCGGGTCATATGTGTATTCTCTAAGTCCTCTGATTTCTTTGCCCTTGGCTCATTTTGTAATACTCGAAGTCGATAGGCTTTCAAAACGAAACCCCATTCGTCGTCATCCGACGGAATATCTCCTACTCAGGGAATGTGGGTTACATACGTAACCAAGATGTTTACTCTTTTTTAATATGTGGTTACATCCACAACATGTTAGGCAGTAAAATAATGCCACAAACTTTCCATATTTGTGTGTTTGGATAGGCACTGAAACATACAAAATGGACATACTGACAACAATTACTCAAACATACTCATACTTTGGATTAGGGATTTGAACAAACCCCAGAACCCAAGAACTAAATCTCATATGTCATAATATGAGTGGCATTGTGAGTGAATGTGAGTGTAAGTGAATTATAAGTTAATTACATAAGGTCTTTCCTTAGTTATATCTAATATGTTGTTAAATTATAAAGGAAATTTGAAGATGATGGACAAAATACAGTGCCATTTTAGTGCCAGTCTAATTGCTCAGCATATACTTTTCTGTAGGCCTGGTTTCATTCACCAAGAGAATTTTAAGGTTACGTTACCTGTGATCAATAAGGCATATACAAACTCTTTAGTATCAGTTAGCTAGTTAGTAGTTGAGTCAGTGAAAAAAAGACTTCAAAGATGCATTATGTCTATGTTTGAGCAAGGGCAAATTAAGAGAATTAGCTACTGTAGTTGGCTCAGACAATGTTTCTACATTGCCAGAACACATTTAATTGCCCTGGTTGCAAACCTTTTCATGTTTGGCACTGTGTGTAAGCGAGCATTTATTGGTTCACTTTATATTGTCTAACAGAATGAAATCTCTTTCACTACGGCACACCTGTGGCATAATGGCTCTTTTTGTTTGGTGTAGCCCTTCATTTGCTCGCAATCATCAGCCTACGATTCATCCATTATGTGCTAACTCAAGTGTTTTGCGCAATAAACCATGGAGCGTTGTCTCCCCGTCTTACTGTCTGCATGTGTTTCTCTCTCCGTTTCTCAACCTGTTCCCTTCTACAGCCGAATCGGGTATTATTGCCTGAACTCTAATCTGTCCCTCGAGCAATGGGAAGAGAATTGGATTTGAAGGCTACTTGTGGCACTAGTGCCGTAATGCCATAGCCATTCAGCTTTCAAATAAGAGAAAGCTTTCATAATAAGATCATTAACAGTAATCCGTTAGTTTGGTCCCTCAACACCACACAAATGGCTTCTCTGAGCTGTGGTGGATTCAGCTACAGAATACAAGCTGAAATGTAGTGATGCACTGTTTCTTTGCTGGATCAAGAAACATTACAATGGACAAATGGCCTCAGCTGCTGATTTAGTTTTTCTTAACCTAATCATTTTCTAGTTGTTTTTCTGTATTTTTATATGTTGCTGTTGTTTAATATTCCAAAAATGGAATAACTCTGCATTTAATTGTTTACACCACACCACACAATGAATCACAAGAGTCGTGAGAGTTCGGATTAGTGAATTAAGGCAATGATTTATTCATAGACATCTGTGATATGTCTGAGGACAAAATCATACATAAGTTAAGAGAATAAAAGCAGTAGAGACTACATTCTCACTCTGTTTTTTTTTTTCTGCAAAATAAATGTATGTAGATGGACGGTATTGATATATTGCATCATCTCCATTGTACAAACAAATTTACATCAGACCGAGCTCAGACTGTGATTGATTGACATTAAAATGAGTGACTCTGTACAGATGAGGTTTTTTCATGTCAGTGGTTGAATGGGTCTTATGAGGAGTATTCGTACTCTTCTGCGCTCCGTCGGCCAAAATCCATCCATCCCAGGTAATCTCTGTCCTTTATTCTGTGAGTGGAGCCCATGGACCTGCTATTCGGAGAGGGACTTCTGCGGTATGTACCTGGATGGAAGGACAAGGACAAGACTATAATGTACTGTATGCCTGTGAGTTCTGATCAAATGACACAATCATTGTTTATACAGTGTAACATAATATGCAGGAAGCACGATTGATAAGAAATTCCACCTTTGGTGGAGATGATTCTGGCCAGTAGTTCAGTCAAGCTGCTGCGGGGTTCTTCATCATCCTCTTGTTTCGACAGAAGCCTCAGTTGTCCACTGGACGGCGCTGCACGGGTGTGGCGTGTGTGTTTCGATATGGTCCCCAGATCAGACTGAACTCCATCCTCTGACTGTGTCGGGAGAGAAAGGCAGCTGCTGGTGGAGAGGGCAGCCAGCAACACGCACACACAGATTCCAGTGTTCATATCTGAAACATATACCCGCACATGTTAGAGTTTTGAAATCGCTTTTTAAACCCATTACACACATTTTTATGTTGAGGCTAGAGAACTGCTTTTTAAATGATTTTACCTTTAAAAAATCAAACATTCAAATCCACCACCAAACTCATTAATAGTGATTGCTAAAATATAATTCCAACCTCAACCCCAAAATACTAAATCCTTTATGGAGAAAACAAAAGTACATTTGTATTAAAAATCGGATAGATGGACTAAATGCAATTTGTAATCAGGGTAGATCTAAACTCTTCTAAACACATGGTTCAAATAAAACCCATTTCCCTGTGCGTCTTTATTTATTTATTTATTTATTTTTGCTTTCTTGGTTCCAAAATTTTACTTAACCACTTTTTTTTTTTATTCATCATTGTCAAACAATGAAGTGGTCAGACTGGAAAAATTGTGGTTGAGGAAAAAATAAACTGGATTCAAGCATCAGCAATAGGAATTTTAAATGGATCCAATTTCTCAATTATCATAACAAAATAGAAACTGCATCACTAGTGAATCTCATTCACTCACTTCATCTTCTTCGCTTTCATTAAAATCTACAAATTAAATGCGAGCACACATTTGAAATATTTCACAATATATTTCACACAATGTCGTGTAAAAAAAAAGATGATTTCACACAATAAATGCAAGAGCCTTAGACAAAAATAAGATAAAAATTGAGATCGTACCTTCAGGTGAAACTCTGGCAGAGAGGAGGAGGAGAAGAGAGAGAGAGATGGAGAACACACGCTGACTGTGTGCTTGCACAACTTGGCTGCACTGTGCAAGAGAGGCCCTTAAATAGCGCTCTGAGTGGGCTGGCTCTGTTTGACCCACGTAGTGACAGGCGCAATCCCACTGTCTGTGTATATGAATGAGGTTGTGTATTTGCGCAAGCTTGACGCAGATCTGAGAGCAGCAAAGTATTCTCACAGGATATAGATTGTGACATTGTCACTCAAGGGGACCGAGGAATCTCCAGAGGTCACCATCCTAATTACACATATGCACACACCTCCAGAACAACTGCGTTTCCTCCTCCTTTTGCCCATTAGAGTCCATACCTCTTTGGCCATGGCCCACAGGATGCACATTTTGATCTTATGGATACTGATGTCTTTATTGTGCACTGCACTGTGTTTGACACTTATTCCAGTGACTCTTGGATATTTTTACCTCAGTAACCAGGTTTTAAATAGGACATGCAAGTGACGACCCATCACGGTACAAACAATTTTTTTTTCATACAAAAGGCCTTGTGATTAATATTTATAACATCAATATAATAGTAGTTAAATTAATAAATCATAATTAATTAATTATTTGATGTTTAGTGTCTAAATCTCACTATTAACTGACTTTTGCCTCAAACTCTTAATTACTGATTATTAATAGATAGGCAGTTTCTATAGTTATTGGGTAAGATTAAGGGATGAAGAATATGGTCATGCAGAATGAGGTATTAATATGTGCTTTATAAGTACCGAAACAGCCAATTTCATAATATGCACAATATGCAACTGGTTAGTTAATAGTGAGAATTGGACCCTAAACTAGTGTTACCAAATATATTAGATCACACTTTAGATTAGGGTAAAATTCTCACTTTTAACCAATCTTGTGTGTAACATAACTACTTTTTAGGGTAAAAAGTAGTGTAACGCGTTACTTCTGAAAATTTGGTAACGAAACATAGTTCCCTTTTCAATTCGGCACGTTACTTTTCCCAGGGACAGATTTGATTTCCGTCATTTGACAGATTTGACAGCGATCGCCATCTCCGTGAATGCCTAGAAATGCACATAATGGATTACATAATCAGAGAGTGGCCTATATCTTTTCGTTTCAAGACATTTCAAGCATTCTATACATAGATATATTTATATTTATCATGTCTGTGAGGCATACGCTGAGTTTCGGTTATTTTATGATGAGGTGCGCTCCGGCTCAACAAGTAACCGCGCCGGCGCTGCCTGTCAAAATTATATTGTCTGCTAAATTTGCTTCTTATTTATTAAAATATACAAGCAATTGGTTGATAAAAAATATTTAAAATTAAGATACAATTTATACAAAACGAAATTCACTTTAAAGAAAGGCTTTCTTCAAAACAAAACTTAAAGGGATAGTTCACTTTGAAATTAATTTTTGATATGTTTTAGCTTACCTCAAGGGCATCCAAGATAGGTGTCTTTGTTTCCACAGTATTTTCAATTTTGACATTTTTCAGTCAAACCGTTCTTGTCTGTCAGTCATATAATGCAGGTTTAGGGGGTCCACGTCAAAGTGCATGCACAGAGAAGTCCAAATTAAACACAATTTAATGACTCGTAAATGTAAGATGGCCTAAGACACGAAACGAGTGGTTTGTGTGAAAAAAAACTAACAGTATTTATATCGTTTTTACCTTGTGTAAAACCACAGCCATATCCAACTGATCTGAATCAGTTGTCCAATGTCCAACTGAACCGAACTGAACGAAGTCCAACGTTCCGCCGGAAGTGATCGCTTGCACGTGTACATCACTCATTGTTTACACAGAGATTTCAGAAGTTTTACCTTCCGGAAGTAAACAATGAGTGACGTACATGTGCAACTGATTCAGATCACTTGGACATGGCTGTGGTTACACAAGATAAAAATGATATAAATACTGTTCGTTTTCTTGTTTCGTGTCTTAGGCCATCAGTGTGTACTTACATTCACGAGTCATTAAATCATGTTTAATTTGGACTTCTCTGTGCATGCTCTTTGACGTGGACCCCCATACTTGCATTACAACAACGGTTTGACCGAAAAATATCAAAATTGAAAATACTGTGGAAGCAAAGACACCTACATGTTGGATGCCCTTGAGTTAAGCTAAAACACATTAAACATTTATTTCAAAGTGAACTATCCCGTTAATGAAGTGGTCAAAATCAAGTCTGACCCACTCAATGTCTCCTGATATATTGCGCATCCATATTAATCATGCTGTGCACTTTTCATAATCAACATAGATGGAAAAAAATAACATTATAATATTTTAACAAATATGAAACTAAGTGCGCTTATTTAATGGCTACAACACGTATAGACCTAGATTCTCTATTTGTACAAATTGCTGCACATTCATTAATTCTGATTTTTGCTCACATAAGTTGAAAGGTATTTGTTTACGTGCATAGTAAAACATATCTGCAACAAATATCAAGTTCATGGATAATTGTTGCTTGCATTTAGTAATCATTATGACACTAAAATCATAATAAAGTAGGCTATACCAGCCTTATCCCAATTCGATGCACATGGCACCCTTTAGTGTCAATATGAGACCCAGATATACATGGGGCAGAAGGCGCCTCCTAGTGGTCTAACCCTAACCCTACCCCAGATCTAACCGAAGCATGTTATATTGACGCTAAAGAGTGCCATGTGCGTCAGATGTTTACGCTTTGGCAAAAGCGTCGCATATGACGCCTTGGGCTGAGAATGCATTGGCTATACTATGCACAAAAAATCAGATGTGCCCAGAATATGAACACAACGTGTTTAATTAAGAAAATGTTAAGCATTTTCCTCCCATAGAAAACGATTATAAGAACACTTAATTTTGGCTAATGCAGATTAGAATGTCCCCTTATTATGTCGAAATAACAAGATTTCCTAATTTTCTTTATTTTTTCTTCACCATGCGGTTCAGTACTTCCCAGGATAAAGCCGGATTATAATTGCTTCAAGAAATTATTTTTGGGGGTGCTAACGGGGAGCTTTGGTCTTTCTTGGGGGCTTTCATTCTAGCCTCTCCCTAGCGCTGCCCATGCATATGACTATCCATTAACAGGCATTTATTCATAAATATTCAACAGTGTGATAAATGCATTATCCATTTATATATGGCATTATGCATAGAACTTTATGTAGGTGTTCCTAGTAATCCTTTAGGTGTGTATAACCCTACCAGCTCTCTGCTCAGCCCACCTGTACAAACTCTGACATCACAAAATGTATTATGAAACTATTATGAAAAATGAATAAAAAAATTAAACAAAAAAATATCAAACAGTATTTTTAAGTCTTCAGAACGCAATATTACATCTGTTGCAAATGTGAGATAACGGAACAGAAACTGAATAAAACATTAAAGAAAAGAAAGAAGAAGAGAAAGCACTCATTAAATTTGTCCGACTCTGCTGATGAATGCAGAACACCCACTGAACACTCGGCTATGAGAAAATAAGGCACAATTCTCCACAAGACTTCAGGCAACCACTCAGTCTGTCTTCGAGAGGATTGACTCCATCATGGGGATGCAGTTAAACGCAGGGAAGCCTGATTCACGTGATCAGCCTGAAGCTTATGTCTCCTGTGAGCTTAGGAATTACTTCTGCCTGACAGATGTTTAACAGCGCTATTTCAACTGGGTGAGTAATAATATCACAGTCCAAATAGTTTATACTCACTTTATATTTCAACTAAGCTATAAATTTGCCTTTTTTAAACTCACTATTTGTATAGTCTATTAATGTACCATCTACAGTTTATAAACTATTAATTAACCATAAACTAATAGTTTGCAAATGATTTGTAAGTACTTTACTTTATACTTATTACAAAGCGTTACCAAGTTTTCAGAATTTAGTTTTATTAGCTACAAACTCCACGTTTAATACTCTGCACAGAAATATTTGGTTAAACTATTTATTGTCAGTGAATGACGCATGTAATCGTGAGTCATAAAATGGAAAGGATGCTACGTTTCAAGTCTCAATGAGGCTGTGTCTCTTTTTAAAGTGCAGTACTGTGTGTTTTCATCGTGGGTTTGATGGGGACATGATTACCTACTCCTCAAAATGGTGTGTACATACACATCCACTTGTGTTTGAGAGTCTAGACTCTACAAAGCAAATGAACAATGGTTTTTAATGATCAGTTATGATGGTTTTCTCAAATGTATAACATCATCATGCAGGCTACTCTTTTTGAAGTAATGGGTGGATTTAAATTACAAACTGATTTTAATACCAAGGAAACTGGAATCACGTCTAAAAAATATCTTACAATTCACCGACACTTGGTTCAAAGATAGACGGTTGGTGTGTTTTTTATCTTCCAGGTGGGAACAACACTGAATGAATATTCTGATCCAATAATGCTCGCGCTGAATCCATCTTCTGCAAAGAACAACCATTCTGCAGCCCAGATATGTCAGGCAAACTGTGCTGAGCATCACAATAACTTACAACATTCACTGTTAATGTTTGAATTTGTCTCTAGGAATGAAAAAGAAAATAGTCTTACACAGCCTCTGTGTTTATGAAATTATTCTCACAGCTGAAAGAAATCAACTCTCTGAATATCTTTTGTACAATGTGGTTTATTCATTTACTATTGATTGTTGTATACTTTTATTGCAGTTTTTTAACACTGTCTTTCCATTTAAACCGATTATTGTCAATATATTGTTTTGCTATACCCTTCCTCAAATTATGTGTATTTGTAACACAGTCTCATCCCAAATCGTCATATAACTGACGTTTTGGGACGTATTTTGACCATACGTCAATATCCGCCTTTTTAGGGCCCCCTTAAACGTCGGTAGATGGCGATCCCGGGCCGTCATACAACTGACGCTTTACCTTTAACGTCAGTTAGGTGACGGGTTAGGTTTAGGGTTAAGTTTAGGTATGGGGTAGAGTTAGGATCCCATAACCTCATCTACCGACGTTTAAGGGGGCCCTAAAAAGGCGAATATTGACGTATGGTCAAAAGACGTCCCAAAACGTCAGTTATATGACG